CATCTAAAATTAGGTCCCGGACAAGGGGAGCTTTGTGAACCACGGACCTGGCAGATCTTGAGCGTATCAGCTTGAAGGAGGCTAGAAGGAGTCTCACTGAATTTAATAATACTTGTTTCTGAATCAAGCAGACATGCTTCTGCTGATTAAACTATTTCAGTGTTTTCCCTATAATTCCTTTTACAAGATATAATCTTCCTTGAGTCTAGCTCAGTTCCTGCAGAAACCATAAACATATCCAAAAACTGCCAGGTTATTTTTGAAACTGTTGTTTTTCCCATTTAGCTTTCAATTTGTAGGGATGTAACCTGGCTGTTTTTGCCTGCTCTCAAAAAGATGATTTATTGACAAGAGGAATTGATGCAATTACTGTTTAATGCTGTATGGTGCTGGCTATGTACAGTATACATGTGAGTGTATGAAAATGAAAATAAAAAATTTGGGGAAAATTTTTTTATCCTGTGACTGCAGGAATTTGTGCTGGTCACAACTGTAAGGACTTGCTGTAAGTCCTCCTCATTCAGCGCTGTTGTACCTTTGATATGTCACTGAATGAGGGGACGTTAATCAAGAATTATCTACATATTAACTGTAAAGAGCTATGACAAGGTCAAGAAAGATCTTTTGTTTAATGAAACGTCGAGGAGAAAATATATAAAGTTTTATTAATAGCTTAAAATGCAATTATGCAACATCTATTCAAAAGACCTACAAGTCTGACTTACAGTATCACAGGAAAAAAATGGCAAGTTTGATACTGTTACATGTAATGCAGTAGTATTTTCTATGTTGCACTAAATTTATTCCATAGGTTTGATAAATACCAGATATGTTTATTAATGTAGTCTCCATCTTGTTGGCAGATTTGCTTGCAGAGAGACTTTCAAAAAAGGTAGCACCTCCTGAACGCCTTATTCTTGATAGGCTAACTTTTACAAACTCAAGGTTGATGCTCAATGAATCCTTGCGACCAGTAACTGATGAAGGTTCTTCATCTATAGTCCCTGAAATCATGAAAAACATAAATACTTTTTTGGCTTAATCTAAACGGATGAAACCTATTCTCACATAATGTCTGCAGATATTGAGCTTTGCACAAAAGTGTGTGTAAACTTTGGCTGGTATAAAATATGGTTAATAAATTATTGGTTGCTATATGCTATTTTGAGCCGTGGTGGCGCAGTGGTCAGAGTGCAGTACTGCAGGCTACTTCTACTGACTGCTGGCTGCCTGCAATTTTGCAGTTCAAATCTCATCAGGCTCAAGGTTGACTCAGCCTTCCATTATTATTATTATTATACAATTGTATCACAGCGGCCAGTTGTTTCACCGGATTTGGCATTGGTTACTAGTC